GACCTTAAGCCTATAGACGCCACAGCTACACCCTGTGGGCCTCCTGGGCACACAGCGCCAGCCCGTCCCCAGGGGCTCTGACACGCAGCAGCGTCCGCTGTCACGGGTCACCTCTGCTCTCCCGTGCCGCGTCCACTCCTTTTCTGTACCGCTCCGGATTTAACGTGAAATGCTAAATGCTTTCCTTTCTCACTGCCCTGGCAGTATTCCCCTGGGTTCTCTGGACTCTGAGCCTCGCTCCCCAAGGCCCCATAATAGACACCAGGTGTGTCCGCGAAAGGCTGTTTCCTTTGGATCCCGGCACTTGAAACAAGCCAGATTAAGCCAGTGACACAGTTTCATATTCTTTTCATCAATGAGAGACCATGGCCTCAGGTGAGTCACCTCTGAGCCTTGGTTTTCTCAAGCACCGGAGGTGACACCAGCCGTGCCCTCTTAGAGGGACCAGAGGGGTAATGAACCTGAGAGCCAGTTAACAGAGACAAGCACTAGGGCACATAAATGCGCAAGAGCCGCCGCCACATCGTACCCTCCTTTATAGTCCGGACTCGGGACCAAGAGGCTTAAGAGCGAACGTAGTCGGAAGGATGAAGAGGTGAGTCCAGAAGAAAACGTTAGACTATTAGGGGCATCCTAGGGCCATGCTGGCTAGAGTCCTGCCTGGGCCACAGCTTGCCCCGCTCACTCTCCCAGTCCTGAACACGAACACGTTCCATCGTTCCGACTGACCCTGCTCTGTCCGCCAAGCACTGGGTGCCACCCGTTTGTCCCTCTGAGGGACCTAAGGAGCTCTCCCTTCCCAGCTGGCGTCTCTCCTGCCAGTCATTCACGGCCAGGGCAAGGCTGCGGGCACTGGCTCCTCACTGGGGATGTCATCAGGAAGACGGGACCTGTGGCTCTGATTTCTAACTCCCCCAAATTGGAGAAAAGTTCAGAACCAGACTCTTAGAGCTGAAAGGGACCTTAGAAACCATCTCATTCAACAGATTCTAAGACCCAGATCCCATGGCGGGACAGTTCGTCTGTGGAGGAGATGAGGGCAGAGCGTCAGCTCCCAGCCGGGGTCCCTTCCACTAAACAAGTCCTGGCACTGACACTGTGAACACTGGACAGGCACGAAGGACCTGCACCAGGACGCTCACCGCCCTGCAGTAAACCCAGGGCTGATGCCCAGGTCTGGGCCCACTGGCCAGCCTGCAGCCATGTGAGTCTAGAACAGCCGTGGGCAAATTACAGCCCGCGGGCCGGATCCGGCCCGTTTGAAATGAATAAAACAACAACAAAAAAAGACCGTACCCTTTTATGTAATGATGTTTACTTTGAATTTATATTAGTTCACACAAACACTCCATCCATGCTTTTGTTCCGGCCCTCCGGTCCAGTTTAAGAACCCATTGTGGCCCTCGAGTCAAAAAGTTTGCCCACCCTTGGTCTAGAACCTGAGGAGTGATGGGGAAGGAAGGAAGTCCCTCTCCTGGTCCAGGGAGAAGCATCAGCTGGGGGAGGGAGGAGGAGGGGAGAGTGGAAAGAAGGTGCTCTGGGGTGAATACGGTGTCTCCCAGGGGACAGGAGACCAGAGGAGGGAGAGAAACGGAAAGGCATGCAGGACAGGGAAGCAGCTCATGGAAGGGAGGGGTCAGCAGTCTCTCAAAGCGGCCCCATTGCTTCTGCTCATCTCATCGCTGGTGTCCGCTTCCAGGCTGAGCGCTCCCTGAAGGCAGGGACTGTACCTCTTCACCTGCTAACCCTACACACGCCTGGACATGGCAGAACTCAGCAGCTGACTGTGGGCATAAACGTCTCACCTGGGCCATCACCTCCTCTGCGGCCACCTCAGAGCTGCTCCGCCCACCCCAGGTTCGGGCTGGACATGCCTCCCCCACGCTCCGTCACACGTGTGCTCTCTCCACAGCAAAATGACCTGAAGACTCATTTGAGTCACTGTGTAGACTGACAACTCTTTGAGGGCAAGGACTGTCTTTTGTTGTTGTTAATGTCACCTGAGGATATTTTTTCCCCATTGCTTTTCAGAGAGAGTGGACGGGAGGGAGGGAGAGAGGGGGAGAGAGAGAGAGAAGCATGGATATGAGAGAGACACATCGACTGGTTGCCTCCTGCACGCGCCCTGACCAAGGCCCGGGAGCGAACCCGAAACCCAGGTACGTGCCCTTGACCTGGAATCAAACCCTCCACTCCTCAGTGTGCGGGCCGACACTCTAACCACTGAACACACCAGCCAGGGCGCAAGGACTATCTTTACCTCTTTATCCTCAGCACCTATCACAACACTTAGACACCTAGGAGTTTAACACACGCTTGTAGAATGAATGAACAAATGAATGAACCAAACCAAAGGGGAACCAAAAGAAACGCTACTAGAGCAAGCAGTCTTCATCAGGGAAACCCCATCTCCAAAGTGTCCCCCCTCCCCCATCCCCCCTCCCCGCAGGCGGAGAGGACCCCAGGCCACGCCATCCACGGCCACGGCCACGTTTGGGAACAAAGAGCGAAGCCTCCAGGCTTCCTGCTCGGGCACCTGTTGCACCCGCAGCCACAGCCCTGAGCATTTTGTTTTGTTTGAAACAAGAACAACAGAACACAATCTACGACAGGAAGCGACATTCCAGCGACAATAAGAAAGCACCAGGCTGCTCTACAGCTGTGCGAATCCAGAAAGAAAGACAGCAAGGAGCTGCTGGAGCCCCGGCAGGCAGAACAGTGGAGTGTTGATTAGAAATTGCTCAGCCTGCGTTACAAGACAGAACCGGGGGAGGGGGAGGGGAGGGGAGAGGGAAAAGAGGGGGAGAGAGGGGAGTGGGGGAGAGGACAGTGCGTGTTTTCTCCTGGGCTCTGACTCATTTCTAATCTGTCCTTTCCTCCCTTCCTCCCTCCCTCCCACCACCCCCTCAAGAGAGAATTCATTGATTGGGCCGGTCTGCACTGTCCTACCTTTCTTCCCCTGGCTTCCCTGTGAAGGATGAGTCTGGATCCACTCCCGTCACTGCTCTTCTCCCTCCCGCCCCTCCGCCATTGTCGCCTCCACCTTGCTCAGGGTGAGAGCAGCTTTTTCAGCCCTTGGGGGGGGGGGGGGGGGGCGAGGCAGGAGCAGAAGCTGGGATCGGGGTGCTACGGGTGCTCAGGGGACCCAGGGAGCCAGCCGCACCTGCAGAGCAGAGGCCCAGCTCTGACAGCGAGGGCCCTGCTCACTAACCTGTTGCCTGCTTCCGGGCAAGGGCGGCCTCTCTGCGTGCAGAAGGAAGAAGGCGCGGGCAAAGCAGCCCACCGTTCCCAGCACAAACAAAACCAAACCCTACAATGAAAACTCAGAGGCCGCTTAGGAGAGAGCCACCCACGGGCGCTGGTTTGAGAGCACTGGGCTCTAGTCTCTGCTCCATCACACATTTGCTGGTGCTTGTCCTGTGGGCCTCCTTTCTGTCACGGCTGCTGCCTGGGTCCCTGGCTGCCTGGGTCCCTGCCAGCGACCTGATTCCACTGCCGCAGCCACCGGCCAGGGCTGTTTCCCTTGCTCCCCTCCCTGCAAGGCCCTGGGGCTCTGTGACTCAGGGACCCTCCCAGGTGCCAGCTGACTTCAGGGAGGGTGCCATGCAGGCTCAGGGCCAAAGTTCCCGGGACAAGATAACAGAGAAGAAGAGGCAAATTGAGGACGCTGAGGATCAGCGAGGGGGGAGGTGGCAGGCCCTGGCAGGCCAGGGGAGGGGGAGGCACGGATCAGCCAAACCCTGAAATTACAGATGATTCACATTTGAATAGTGTGGGAGGGAGACACGCAGAGCAGGCAGGAGAGGCCAACTCAGTGCAGAGCCCCCACAGGGGACCACGGGCTAAGGAGCCAGGTAGGGCCCTTCCCTGGGAACAGGCAACGCCAAGGAGTCAGGACTCTCACTCTGAAGCGGAGGGGAGCAGGGGTTGCCTCTCCTGAGTGTATGTCACCCTCTCGCTGGGGTGAGTTAAATGTGCTCCCCTTTCCTACTGACTTGATTCTCCCAAGCCTTCTGGTTGGAGCCCCTGGAGCGGACAAGACTTCATCTTGGGGTGCTACTTTGCGTTTTCTCTCCTGCCTTTCACGGCCCCATCCTATCCTCACAACCGTTCTGATCCCTGTTCCTCTCCTCCATCACTCGGTCTCCACGGTCATTGCCTCAGAGCTGTCCAAACCCCCCAACCTTGTGAGCACCCTGCCCCAAGCAGGGCTACTGTGTGACTCCGGGCTGGCCACCCTGCCTGGCCACGTGTCTCTCAAACACACAGAGTCATGGGGGGTGGGGGGGGGGGTAAAGTGTCAGAAACAAAAGCCTTTGCAGCCCCCAGGAGGGTGGGAGAAGTTCACGAAAAGGAAGGGAAGCCTGGAGGGCCCACCTGGAGGAAGTGGCAGCTGGGAGAAGCCCTACCTTCTGAGCATCTCTGCCGATTATCTTTACTGGGGGACGGGGCCTGTTTAGGGGGGTGGGGGGGGAGGAAGGCCCTCTCTCAGGGTGGGACCACTCCCAAGAGGTACAAGTAAGACAGCAGGGCCTAAATCCCACAACCAGTGGAACCTCCACCCACCTGCCTCCTCACCCCCTGCCTGAGAACGCCGCTGGGTCCCGCGTCTCCAGGGAAGGAATTAAGGAGACGCTCCTCCGCCCCCGCCCCCACCCCCAGCGCCAGTTTCCCTAATTAACCAGCCTCCTCGGAGCTTCCGTTAGTCCCGCCAGGCTCTCCCCAGCACTGCACTCGGGACCACAGAGGCAGAACCCTGTGGAGGGGGATGCCGGTTCGAAAGAACCACCTCCAGTCACTAGTGGGCCAGACACCTGCCTCTCCAGCGGCTCACTTGCACTCCGAGGCCCCCCACCCCCTCCCCCTAACACGCAGCCCCTCCCCCACGTACCCAGCCGCTCACAGCTTCAGCACAGCCGGGGCGTGGGGTGGCGGGTGGGTGCACCCCCACAGCGAGAATATATAGAAAGTTCCCCGCGGCGGTAGCGAATGCCGCTTACCTGTCAGCCCGAAGAGCGCCATCCACGCCAGCGAGACCCGGTCCATCTCCCCCAACTTCCCATCCAGGGACGAGTGCGCGAGCCCAGTGGGGAGCGGCGCGGGCGCGGGATCGGTCTGCGCGACCGGAGGCAGAGGCGGCGCGGGCGCGAGCGGGTGTCCGCGT